AAATCTGATGAAGAAAAATCTGATGAAGCAAAACCAATAAAGTAAGACCTGACAAAGCAAGACCCAACAAAGACCAATAAAGTAAGAACTAACGAAGTAAGACCCAACAAAGCCAAACTCAACAAAGCCAAACCCAACAAGCAAGACCCAATGAAGCCAAACTCAATAAAACAAGATCCAATAAAGTAAAGCTCGAAGAAGACCCAGTGAAATAAGATACACATGTGTTAGTTTCATTTAAAGAAAAAAAAATTAAATTATACAAAAAAACACCTATCACATTCCCAATTCCAGATTCTGAATCTAACAAAGAAAGAAGAAGAAAGTCCTAACGAAGCCAAACTCAACGAAACAAGATCCAATTAAGTAAAGCCCGAAGATGACCAAGCAAAGTAAGACACGCGCAAGAAGTGTTAGTTTCATTTAAAGAAAAAAAAATTAAACTATACAAAAAAGTACCTACTATATTTCTAATCTTGGATTCTGAATCCAACAGAAAAAGAAGAAGAAAGTCTTAATAAAGCCAAATCTGACAAAGCAAGATCCAATAAAGTAAAGTCTGAAGAAAACCCAATAAAATAAGACATACGCAAGAAGTATTAGTTTCATTTAAAAAAAAAAAAATTTAAACTATACAAAAAATATCTACCACATTCTTAATTCCAGATTCTGAATCCAATAGAGAAAAGAAGAAGGAAGTTTCAACAAAGCCAAACCTGACAAAGCAAGATCCAATTAAGTAAAGCTCAAAGAAGATCTAGCGAAGTAAGATACACACAAGAAGTATTAGTTTCGTTTAAAAAAAAAAAATTAAACTATACAAAAAAAGTATCTACTACATTCTTAATTCCAGATTCTGAATCTAACGAAGAAAAGAAGAAGGAAATCCTAACGAAGCCAAACCTGACGAAGCAAGATCTAATAAAATAAAGCCCAAAGATCTTAACAAAGCCAAACCCGACAAAGCAAGATCCAATAAAGTAAAGCCTAAAGAAAACCCAGTGAAGCAAGACACGCACAAGAAGTATTAAGAAAAAAAAAATACAAAAAAGCACCTACTACATTCCTAATAGAGCAATTTACTGACAGCCAATAGAAACTTGGGGAAAAATTAGTAAATGCTACATGTGTTAGTTGATTAATAATTACTTTAATAGTGCAAATAGAAATTAGTGATTGATTTTCTAATATAATACAAAATCCATGGTACGAATAATGTTTTTTATAGTGCGAATAGCAGTACCCTATATTTATAGTGGGTTTATTGTATTTTTATTGAGTTCTATAGTAAAATTATTGGTTTCTTTTGATATTTTTAATTTATACTCAAGTAAATTTATTTTATTAGATCTTGCTTCGTCAGGTTTGGCTTCGTTAGGATTTCCTTCTTCTTTTCTTCGTTAGATTCAGAATCTGGAATTAAGAATGTAGTAGATACTTTTTTTGTATAGTTTAATTTTTTTTTTTTAAACGAAACTAATACTTCTTGTGTGTATCTTACTTCGCTAGATCTTCTTTGAGCTTTACTTAATTGGATCTTGCTTTGTCAGGTTTGGCTTTGTTGAAACTTCCTTCTTCTTTTCTCTATTGGATTCAGAATCTGGAATTAAGAATGTGGTAGATATTTTTTGTATAGTTTAAATTTTTTTTTTTTTAAATGAAACTAATACTTCTTGCGTATGTCTTATTTTATTGGGTTTTCTTCAGACTTTACTTTATTGGATCTTGCTTTGTCAGATTTGGCTTTATTAAGACTTTCTTCTTCTTTTTCTGTTGGATTCAGAATCCAAGATTAGAAATATAGTAGGTACTTTTTTGTATAGTTTAATTTTTTTTTCTTTAAATGAAACTAACACTTCTTGCGCGTGTCTTACTTTGCTTGGTCATCTTCGGGCTTTACTTAATTGGATCTTGTTTCGTTGAGTTTGGCTTCGTTAGGACTTTCTTCTTCTTTCTTTGTTAGATTCAGAATCTGGAATTGGGAATGTGATAGGTGTTTTTTTGTATAATTTAATTTTTTTTTCTTTAAATGAAACTAACACATGTGTATCTTATTTCACTGGGTCTTCTTCGAGCTTTACTTTATTGGATCTTGTTTTATTGAGTTTGGCTTCATTGGGTCTTGCTTGTTGGGTTTGGCTTTGTTGAGTTTGGCTTTGTTGGGTCTTACTTCGTTAGTTCTTACTTTATTGGTCTTTGTTGGGTCTTGCTTTGTCAGGTCTTACTTTATTGGTTTTGCTTCATCAGATTTTTCTTCATCAGATTT